TCCAAAGAGATGGTTTGCAGCACTTCTTTCTGATCTAGTGCCCACCCCAGTTGGCTAGAAGGCCTGTCACATTCCCACCATTTTTAAAATTATGTTGTGGTTGACCCAATAATGGTCCATTAAGTAATTTTTCCTCATCCTCCATTTTCCCCTCCCTTCCAGAAGCTCATCGCTCCAATCAACTCTGATATCTCCCAGTGAGATGCTTTTGCTTGCTATCTAACTAGGCATGCTGTCTAACTAAGCATGTAGGAAAACATCGCTTTCCTACCTCTTTATATCATGTTTCCCCAAAAATAAGGCCCAACTGGAAAATAAGCCCTAGCATGATTTTTCAGGATGTTTGTAATGTAAGCCCTACCCCAAAAATAAGGCCCAGTAAAGATCGTCAGCCAGATGGATGCATTTAGTGCCATATTTCCCCCAAAATAAGACTTACCCGAAAAATAAACCCTAATGTGTTTTTTGGAGCACAAATTAATATAAGACCCAGTCTTATTTTCAGGGAAACATGGGTAGTACTGCAAAGGGGGCATGGTTAAAGACACTGAGCTTGTCGGCTGGAAAGCTGGCAGGCCGGGTTCGCAACCCATGTGCTGCACAACAAGGTGAGCTCCTTACACTTGCCCCAGCTCCTGTCACCCTAGCAGTTCGAAAGCATGCAAATGCAAGTAGATAAATAGGTATCACTTTAATGGGAAGGTAACAGCATTCCGTGCCTCTCGACGTGTAGTCATGCTGGACACATCACCATGGAAGTGTCTTCAGAGAAGGCTGACTCCCTCAGCTAAAAAACAGAGATGAGCACCATCCCCTAGTTGGACATGACTGGACCAGTGGTGGGTTGCCCCCAGTTCAGACCGGTTTGCAAGAACCGGTAGTAAAACCAGCTGGAGGCCCCACCACTGCCCTGATGTTGTCATTGGCGATCTGTGCATGTGCAGAAGCTTCTGCGCATGTGCAGAAGCAAGGTGCACGTGCGAGCGAAGCAAGCTCGTGTGTGCGATCCCGTTGCGAACCAGTAGTAAAGGTATGTAGAACCCACCCCTGGACTGGACTGAGGGGACCTTTGCCTTTATAGTACTGTAAAGCTTCACTTCCCACCCACCCACATTCCTTTTTTAAAAACGTGAAGATACAACATAGAATCATTGGAACTAAGCTACAAGTTTCAGTGAATGTGCAATACTGGCCCTATAAAACTGCATCTATCTGTAAATCCAGATGGTGGATTGTCTCATGTCAAACTGTAAGCTGAGGGCATAACCAGTCCAGTATCTGATCTTTTTTAATATGAACAATGCTATGCTTCAGTGGTTAGATGGCCTTGACATTAGGGTTTGAACACAGATCTTTTTAACATTTATATTTATTGTGTTTTATTAACCTAGGTGAAATGTTAATATATATTGTTAGTTCATGTATGATATTGCCATATTCTAAATAAATAAATGCAGATGGCCCAGACTGTTAGTCTCTTGTAAAGAGCAGTCTGATCTCCCGCCCAGACCTTTGGGCTAAATTAACTCTACTGGTTGATTTGTTTGATTCCAGTCCTAGGATTAGAAGGGCAATGTTCTTAGATCTCACACATAGGTTTATGTTTAATTGTTGCTTCTGGTTATTTTTTATGTTGTTTTATATAAGGTGTTTTTGTTTTAATCCTTTAATATACTTAGAGACACAGTATTGTGAAATGGACATCTATATACATTGTTAAAATGAGACACCATAAAACAATAAATATTCTTAACTCCATGCAGACTATATTATGCATGGCTCCAAGCACAATAGATTCTATGTATTTGATTAGTTGTTAATTGTTTCCAGCCAGAAAACAATACTACATATATTAAAAAGCAGACCTTCTAGTTATATCCTTGTCATAAATAATTAGCAATAATGTGTAAGCATTGGATGATTTCCCCCCTTCCCCTGTACTTTTAGCATATGTTTGCCAAAATGATCTTTAGAAGAACTCACTGCACAACACTATTTTATTATACTGGTATTTACCTATATAGAATATTTATATCACACATTTCCATGAAAAATTCAGGAAGGATAAATTCCTAAGAAATTATCTAACACTTTCATGTACTTTTTGCTTTTATGATTACATTGCTAAGAAAAACATTCACATTATACACCTTGCGGAGTCCTCTTGCAGTGAAACTGACATTTATTTTTATTTATTTAATCAATTGGTAAAGCTGCACATCTCAACAAGTAACATAGTAAAGGAGAAGCCACTGTTATCAAATCTAGTGAATTTCTCAATGGGGAAATATACAAGGAACAATTAAGGACACAAATGTCAGGGTTAAATTTTATTTATTTATTTATTTATTGGTTTGATTTATATGCCGCCCTTCTCCGGAGACTCAGGGCGCCTTACAATGCGTTAAGCAATAGCCTTCATACTTTTGTATATACCTGCTTAGTAGGGCTTCCGCCCCCCATCCCAAGCGGTGTTCTTTTTTATACAAAGTCAGCTTATTGCCCCCACAATCCGGGTCCTCATTTTACCCATCTCGGAAGGATGGAAGGCTGAGTCAACCTTGAGCCTGGTGAGATTTGAACTTGCAGTAATTGCAGGCAGCTAGCAGCTAAGTGCTATTTAACAGCACTGTAGTCCGCTGCACCACCAAGGCTCTTCACCAAGGCTTTTTATTATCTACTCTTCAATTGAGTAGATTATAAAAAGTGCCACTTTACAGTTTCTTTCACTCATAAGAAAAATTCTCAAATGGGTCTGGCATAAATCAGTTCTATTGGATTTCCATTCTCAAATTTTGAAGGTGACAATTTATTTATTTTTTTTGTATTAAATGAGAAAATACCTGTTTTGTCAAGTGGCAGGCAGTGGCAGGGACAATCAACACACAACTAGGTAAGGAGATTTCAAGCTTTATAATAACTTTAACAGCTGGTATAAAAGCATAACATACCAAGCAAGATGTTCTCACCAGCTGTTGGGAGCCCCAGTGAAGAGACCACGAAGGCCAGGATCTGCAGTGTAATGAACACTCAATCCTGTTCCAAAGTTCAAATGACCTTATTAAGGTCTGGCACCAAACGTCATAACCTTACTTCCATGGTAATGAGACTGCAGGATCTGACCTTGACTGGATAGCGCATAACTCTCAAACAAGGGTTCTGAGAACATTGCTGATAAGCTAGTGGTAATCTAAACAATCTACAGCTGTGTGAAGATCCCCTCCCCCACTTCCCTTATTCATCAAGCAAGAATGAAAAACAAGCAGGTTGGCTCAGAATAAACTCTAAACTTCTAGAATGTTCTTAATATGAAGGAGAAATCAAAATATCCTTGAAATACAATGGTCTTCCACACTGCCACTACACCGTCTTATATCTTTCTGCCTTAGAGAAAAGAGTATCCAAATATTAAAAACACTAATAGGATAACAGAGTCACTATGGCAGTGGCATATATGTCACACTTAGGGTTGACACACAAATAGGTATCTATTCACTTTCACTGTTGTTCAATAAAGACTACAGCAATTAACACAATCTGGAAGGCAGGTGGCCCCGTTTAATCTTGGCAACGACTCGGATGATTTTTTTTTCTTTTTCCTTGTAAAATGTTTGCCAATTACTTAATTTTAATAATAAACTCAGTTCAGTTCATATATACACCAAACGAAGGCAGGATTAATCATCTTTGAAAAATGTTAGCAATTCATAATTCATCCTAGTGACAGGAGGAATATAGCATACACAGAAGAGAGCAAGCTTCGTTTCTAAGGCATTTCTAAGGCATTCACAGCTTATCTGGATAACTTTTTATAAATATGTGGCATCAGCATTGCACATAAGGAGAGTTGGCATTTTTAGAATTAGACTTGCTGAAATCAATGGGGCCTCTGTCTAAATTAAGGTTCTGCTGATGTAAAGGAATCTCCTCTAAGAATCTGTCATTTTACGAGATAGATCAGATCTGGAAAGCAACTCAACAGACCAATACACTATTCCAGAATTCTCCAACTTTCCAGTTTTGCGGACCGGCGGGAAAGGGAGAGAGCGGGGATGATTCCACATGAGTGGTCAGCAAGTGCGCATGCGCAGCTCCATTTGAATGACTGGCATGCACTTGCCACTCACACAAATGGAACATGCATATGCATACTTGCCCGCTGCTTGAGCAAATGGGATACACTTGCATGCTTACCTATTGCCCGCCATTTCTGTGGCCCAGTTGCAAACAGCTCATGGCCCACTAGTGGGGTGTGGCCCAGAGGTTGGAGACCCATGCTGTATTCCTGTGATGGCTAACCTTTTCCAGACTGAGTGTCCAAAGCGCATGCATGCGCGTGTGAATATGTGTGTGCACATCTGAATCCCCAAAATGCAATGCACATGCGGACCCCGTGCATGTGCCCCGTCCCCTGCACATGTGCGGCAGAGACCCGAAGACCAGCTGGCCGGTGGGAGGCTCGTGCTCATGCGCGGCAGAGCTGAACTGGGGCAATGGCTCACATACCCACAGAGAGATGCTGCATGCCACCACGTGTACAGACATGTGCCATAGGTTCGCCATTATGGCTCTATTCTATTGAGATAGACAATACTAATACAGTTTTGCAACTCTGATTGTGCTTTTGTTTCCCTCCCTCTTATACTACAGTGAGTTAGGATGAGCCATTCCGAATCTCTTCTTAATGGCTATCTGTTTTCCCAGGGTTTAAGGTATGCATCTGTATTTTTTGTTTACAAAACAGCTTCTGAATACCTCTTTCCAGGCCATCTCCCTAACTTTCTACAGTATCCCAGGGGAAAAAAAAGACAAATCATGTTCATATTGCAACCAAGAAAAAATTATGCGGTCACAGGAATAGTCAAGATTGACTCCAAAGAGTCTTTTACCTTTTTCATTTGAAACTAGAACCTGCATTACATATGTACTTGATCAATAAGTCTAAGCTGAAATAAATAACTGTTCCTTTATTTAGTCTATGATGCTTTTGTTTTGTTTAGATGGCTTCGGTAACAGATGCCAGATATGGACCCAAGGATGTTTCAGACCAGAACTTTGATTATATGTTCAAGCTCCTGATTATTGGCAACAGTAGTGTGGGCAAGACTTCCTTCCTCTTCAGATATGCTGATGACACTTTCACACCTGCCTTTGTCAGTACAGTGGGAATTGACTTCAAAGTGAAGACTGTTTACAGGAATGACAAGAGGGTAAAACTGCAGATTTGGGTGAGTACCCATGATTCTCGAATCATTTACTCTGGGCACAGATTTAGAGGGATCATTATAATTTCCAAATTATTCTTTGATTGTGGGAAATCAGGCTTATTTGCTTGTCTGTATTTCATTTCGACAGAAGGCTGAAGCTATGTTCATTGCTTGTTATTGCAGAGGATGGGCAACCTTTAAATATCAAGAAATTGCACTAACGTTTTTTGAGCATCTGGGTTCTACACAGAGCAATAGATGTGCCTAGGATTTTCTTGGTTAGTTTTTCTTTTAGATTTTTGGAAGGTGTTATATGAATTCTATATTCTTTAGTGCTTTATTGTAAGCAGATCAGGGGTGGGTTCTACTTATCTTTACTACTGGTTTGCAGCGGGGCCGTGCACGCGCTTGTTTTGTGGCACGCATACGCGCTCTTCTGCGCATGCGCAGAAATGTTTTGATGATGTCAGGATCAGTGGGCGGAGCCTCCCACCGGTTTTACTACCGGTTCTATAGAACCAGTGCGAACCGGGGGCAACCCACTACTGAAGCAGATGCATTTTGGTATTTCTTTCTGGATATTTCCTCATTCTTTACCTGGAAGCAGTGTGCTTTATTTACTTGCTTGTACATTGCATTTAGAGAATGATGTCATTACATTGTAAAACAGTAAAGGCACTATTCCAAAGGCGCGTTTTTCAAAAGGCAACTGGACTTTGTTTTTCCTTGAAGACTTTTCTCTTCTCATCCAAGAAGCTTCTTCAGTTCTGGAACTGAAGAACTGAAGAAGCTTCTTGGATGAGTAGCGAAACCTCTTCAAGGAAAACAAAGTTCAGTTGCCTTTGGATAAAAGCACCTTTGGGACAATCATGGCCTGGATGACTGAGAATCTCCACAGACAGTAAAGACAACTAGTTACCTTTCCCTTGTTTACTTACTGACTGTAGCATTGTGTCGGATCCCACACAATGAAAGGTTGGAGATCTCCAAGTTCCTCTCCTTGAAACCTTCTGGGTCTCTTCACCAGAGCTCTGTCTTCTGCCCGGTTATGATGTTTTGGAAGTTTTCCATCTGTTTTTCAGGGAGATGCCATTATCTGCCATTACCTTAACTTTGCATGTGAAAGACACAGGAATCACACAACCTGTCTTACTGGAAAATAAAAGGGGAAAAAATGATAAAAAACATGTTCCATAGTGCCTTTCCTACAAAATGATCAGTGTAGACAAAATAACACGGGGCTCTAGAATCACAGACTTCTTAGAAGAAAGTTAAACAAGAAAATGCACAAGAAAATGTGAAGTCCTGAGCAGACCCCAGCGTGATGGTGATTTGATCCTGTTTACAAATAACCCTGAGGTGCCAATATGCAATATGCATGAGGTGCCAATATAGAGTAGAGGGCATAAAAATATTAGTAAATTAGAATATAGACTGGGAATGTCTAAGCCTATCTGGCAACAAAAAATGGCAAACAGACTTCAGGTTTATGAAAGCGGGCTTAATATTCACAACAACGAACAACCTCCACACACTGGCTGTGTTGTTGCAAAATAGGCTTCTCAGTGAAATCTCATTATGTTATATAACATATAATTATGTTACAATCCCACCATCAAGGACCCAGGCTGACACAGTGGTTAGACTGCAGTATTACAGGCTAACTCTGCCCACAGCCAGGAGTTCAATCCTGACTGGCTCAAGGTTGACTCAGCCTGTTCTGTCCCCGTCTCACACACGCACACCAGCAGTTGACCAAGAGTTAAAATAAACCAGCAGACAAGAATTTCCTTTGATAACAGAATTGGCAGCAACCCAGTGGCTGCTTGCCAACAGTCTTTACTTACGAAGGGAGGTTTATCCCCTCCGACCGAAAACATCAAAGTCCACAAAAGCCAAAGAATAGTCAAGTCCAGTCCAAAAAATCAGTCCAAGCAGAGCATATAACAAAGTTCCAGAAATGCAGAATGACTTGCTAGCTTTCAGTTTTGTCCGTCACAAAGCCTGAATGGCCACCACACCCCCTTTTATCTCCTGTGGGGTGTGGTCCAGTGACTCAGCTTAATCTCTGGCATGCCTCCTTCTCTGCTGCACACGCTTGTCTTTCCGATGCTGTCGGGGATCCAGCCAAGACTTATCTCCGTTGCTGTCTAACTGCGGCTGCTTGGAAGTGCCTGGCTCCTGGCCTATTTCTTCTCCTTCGGAAAACACCTGAGGAGGAGGGTCCTGGAGAGGGAGGCCTTACCAACTCCTCTCCTTCATTTTTGGAGTTTTCTCCCTCCAATAAGACAGGCTCGGGGGTCGGAGTCAAAACACAGCCTTCCAGCCTTCCGAGGTCGGTAAAATGAGAACCCAGATTGTTGGGGGCAATTTGCTCTCTAGTATACCACTTAGAGAGAGCTGTAAATCATTGTGAAGCGGTGTATAAGTGCTATTGCTATCATCACTCTGTATAGCTCTTTAACTGAATCTTGTACCATGTTTCCCCAAAAATAAGACCCTGTCTTATATTTTTTTGAACCCCGAAATATGCGCTTGGCCTTATTTTTGGGGATGTCTTATTATTTTGGGGCTCATGGAGCAAGATGGGGCTCCTCTTGCCATCTTACCTGATTTCCAGCTCTGTGTTTAAATATTTTCAGGGAGGGCTTATTTTCTGGGGGGAGGCTTATTTTAGCGCATGCACTCAAAAGGCCGATTGGGCTTATTATCAGGGTATGTCTTATTTTTGGGGAAACAGGGTATTATAACCTTGAAATACCTATCATACTGGCAATCTACAAACCACCCCCAGTTTTGTAAGCATTTACGCATTGCAACACAACATTACCCCCCTTCTGTGAAAGGATTCCACACTCTGTTATATTGCAAAATACCTGTGAATGTGTACATGGGTGGGAAAGAAGATTTGAAAGCTACAGGCTGTATTTGGGTGTTTAGAAAACAATTTTTATTCATATTCTGGAGCAATTACTTTCTCTGTCTTACCAATTGGCCTTCCTAGGAAGTGGTGTTTGGGAACTGGCCATGTCCATTATGGTATACATTTTGTTGCAACCCCTAGGACACATGCTAAATAATATTAACCAGCTGTTTAAACAGTAGTGTTTTGATGGATTTCTTCTTTCCCAGGGAAGGAATTGACAGTATTTATTTTAAAATTCGATCCTGTCCTGGAAACTGCACACTTCCCTATCTGGAAGTGTTGCTTTTTTTACCCCATTCTGCTTGTTAGAAAATAAAATCTAACTAGATTTTTGGGGAGATGCTGAAAAATCTGTAGTGTTAAGCTACACTCATTACAAAAATATTCAATAAACCACAGTAGGCTTCTAAAGGATATTAATAGTTTTGATGAATGGCAGGAGTACACTTCCACAGAAAGGGTGCCCAGCTGCAAGTAGAAATCATAACATCCTACTATTTTTGTGAGCATAATTTAAGCAAATTGAAACTTGACAACCACTAATTATGCTCAATGACTCTTTCATTTTTCCCTTTTTTATCATTTTGGCTGCAGCTGCCTAGATGTAAAATCTGTTCACCATTTTTCAAAATACATTTTCTATTACTGGCACGAGGCACATCAAATTATGCAATGCACGGCAGCTAAGTGCTATACTTTTACCTCTTTGAATGAACTAAAACAGTCTACAGTTGTAGTGCTATAATTTTACACATATTATTTGTGGTACAGAGGTTAGAAATACATAATTTTCCAAAAAAAAAGAAAGTAATTATTACGTGTTTTTCAGAAAATAGTCATCACTTCTCAGACAGTTACATTGTAAGCGTGAAGTATTCTTTATGGGAAGCTATTCTGGAAATGATTTTTTTTGACAATTCATTTTCAATAGGGGTGTACAACTATTGAATTTGGTATATGAAAATGCACCAATACGTACGGGCTGTTTCTTTTAAGAACTTGCATACATAACCTGACTCCAGATTGATTTTTTTTCTTTTCTGCATAATTATCCTACTGAAGGTTAGCTCCTGCAGTATCTGTTTGCCCTTTAAAGTTTTCTTGCTACAAATAATTGTAGAAATGGCACTACCAAGTGCTTTTTAAATCAAAGGTAGACATAGTGAAGCATTCTACCATGATTGAAAATAAAACAATGATGCTCGTCTTGATCATATGATGCCTGGTTGCTAGGTAATCAGGACCTTTCTGAAGAGCTAATGTAGAATCAGAAAAATCGCAAGGAATACATATTTATCTTGGCTTCTTTTTATTAATTTCTCCAACATTTGGTTAAACAAACTAAGGGTGCTGATTGGAGTTCCCTCTATGTATTTTCCAATGATGTCAAGGATTTTTTTAGCAGTCATCTGAACAGCATCTGCCCATAAATGGTCGACAGGTATTGTGAGTTTTGATATCACTTTTTCTTTAAGTAAGGAGTAGATCTTAAAGCTTCTTTTCCAAGGACAGAGCAAGTGCCTTGTTTCAAACCTGATGAATTCAAAGAGGAAGACAGTTTAACATACACAACTTCTTATTCCAGACTTTCCTGCCAAACGCTATGTTATTTACAGGTACAGTTAGCAGCAGTCACAACTAATCACACCTTATTCCCCAGTGTGATACCAAGGGCTGAACGAGTCAAGCTCTCTCTCTTTTTCCCCATAGAGAGAGTTGCTCTGAAATTCGCCTGTTTTTGTCTCAGTTTCTTAAGGTATGTTGCTTTCTTATCAGATGAATGGTCTCTGGGTGATAGGCATTCAGAATCACAAAAATAAATTTGGCCTGTGGAAAACTGTTTCGCATATGTTTTTTCACTATAAATAAACATCAAAGTCAAAGCATAGTGAAAAGCATGTTATCTTTTCTTGGATCATTAAAAAAAAAGAAGTGTGGCCTTAGGCCCAAGAAAAGGTCAGCAGTTTTAACAAAGGAGAAATAAAATATTGAATAATAAAGGTCAGGATTATTACTGTCAAAGAGATGAATTGATTAATTAATGGCCAAAGAAAAGATTACATGTAAAGTGTTACAATAGTCAAATGCTCACTGT